GCACTTGCAGTGGGGGCCACATTCGTACACGAGGAGTTTGGTCTCCACAAGTGCCCCATTGCGATTATACGGAATCTGCCCACCGTTACGGACTGCACACCGGCATTTTCTCGAGTCTGAGCACCGGCCAGCACAGTCGCAGCCAGGTGGCGCCACGGCGTTGTGCCACTCAGGATACATCATCTTCCGGACGTACTCGAACGAAGGCGGCTTCTCGTCGTTTATAGTGTTCACGGCTGGAATGCAAAACGGCTCCTTCCCGTCTGATATGTCCTTGACGCACACGCCGGGCCGGAAACGGGCATTGTTCGTCTTCTTCAACTGCTTCCAGGCGAGCTCGGGCTGGCCGGGGTTCCTGCGCAGCTCGAACATGAAGACCTGCTTGCCGTGGGGCCCAGTCTCAGTCCAGTACCTCTCGACCGTGTACAGCCCATCGTACACATAAGTCGTCACTAGTTTAGGTTTTGGTTCGAGAGGGTCGACAGCTTTGTCCCTCCACCCTCGGACCACGCGGACGGGCGTTTTCGCATCGATGCTGTTCTTCAAGGCTAAATTGCCCCTCTCGAGCTTTTGATCCTGGGGCTGTTGCTTTTGCTTCCCGACAACATTTCCTCCTTGGCCAGAGTATATCAAGACGTCCGCGTTTTCCAGATCATCCGAATAAGCCCCGGATGAGACGATGCTAGTGGCGACCAATAAACCATTGTTGAGCTTCATGGAGTCTATGCCAGCTTGGTACAGGCGGTGGATGCCAACGACGGCGAGCTCGACTCGATACTGAAACTCGTCCCCGACAATAACTCCGGGAACTTCACCAAGGATTTGTTTACCGGTGTTGACTTCTTCTCCTTTTTCCTTGATAGCCTTGGCGGCAAAAAGGTCGATTCTTCTGACGTTTTTTACTGGTTTGCCCTCGTCTTCTTCAAGACTCGAGTTTGCTTCTTCTTTCTGCAGGAGCTTTCTGCATATGGCGTTGAACAAGCGAAGGGTGTTTCGGACTTTGTTACGGGCGTCTCCATGGCCAGAGGTGTTGGGGCCAAAGGGGGGTAGGGTGACCTCTAAATCTTGCTGTTTGCGAGTTTTGGTGGGGAATTTCCCTTTTCGCCCTTCACCGCCAGCAGGGAGCAAGGCTTCTTCGAGACTCCCATCGTCTCCGTCATCATTACTCATACGGACTTTCTTGAGCTTCTTGGAAGGAGGCACTGAGGATTTTACGCTCTGGATACTTTTCTTAGCAACGGCCTTTGATTTGTGCCGCAAGGAGGAGCTCACCTTCTTATTTCTTCCTCCACTCATTTTCAAGCCATGGTTAATGCTCAGAGGTGTTTTTTCTTTTCTCCACGGACAATTTGGTTTGGCCATTAGAGCATATATAATCTTCCTATTGTCCTCATCATCTGAGCTAGAAGCACTATGCGAAGGCTCGATATTTTCATCCCGTTTGGCCATCAGAGCATATATAGTCTTCCTATCCTCGTTATTCTCAGAGCTAGAAGCCCGTTTTCCTGGAGAATAAACAACAATTTTCCCAGCACATTCAGCCGAAACAGGGTTAGTGATCTCACGCATGTCTTCATCCTGAGCCCAAGCATCATTCATTTCTGTTTCCCGAATAATGCTTTGCTGTAATGTCCTGTTGGTTTCTCCCGAACCTGTTGGCCATCCTTCAGCACCACCATCATTCAATGCGGCTGAACCTTTCCCGACACGGTTGTTTTGAAGTCCACTCAGACATTTTGCTTGGGAAGTTGGTGTTATCGGTTTTATTGTCGCATCCTGGGGAACAGTTTCTGACGGAACTTCTTGTGAAGCTACTTTGAGTTTCTCAACTCCATCGGGATAGCACTTTTCAGTCGGTAAAGAAAAATTTCTCCCGCAGTAAGGAGGAAAGTCACGAACTGCAGACACACTCCTCCTCCGGTACTTGTCCTTCCCTCTAACAGAGGGATCAGATGGGTACTTGGCCTCCTCCATACCTGATTTCTTAACCAAAGTCAAAATTTCCACTTTATTTGATTCGTTCAGCGTTGCCTGGCATGTAGCCTCAGTCTCTTTGTTAGGAGAATCAGTTTTCATGCCGTCCAGTGTATTAACTTCATCACGCTTACCGTATGTGATCAATTTTTCATCAGCATTCGCAAAACCTTCCATTTCCTCTATTGTTGTAGTTGTCACGTTTCCAACAAACAAGTCCATTGATTGAGGCATTTCTACTTCAATAGGATTATTTACTTCATTCCGCAACTGAAATCCGGGTGGCCGAGTCGACAATTTCTCATCGACATCCGCACTTGACGTGATTTTCCCCACCAACTCATCCAACGACTCAATCATATTCACATCCACAAAAACATTGAATGCTTCATGCGATTCACACTCCACCATGTTATTAGAGTTTTTCACACCGCTACTATTTAAGTCACCATGTATGTCGGTATCTATTTTTGTCTCGCAACCCGTCTCGAGTTTGGGCATTTCAGCAGTATTAACCTCATTACTCTCTGTTTTTATGGCTTCAGAATTTCCTACAGCCCGAGACCCAATTATTTCAGCCATTCGAGGTCTTTCCAAAGTGCTAGCCATCACAGGCACAGCTTCACTGCCTCTAATTTCTTCAGGTTTCATATTCACCGGCATGGGATTACGACCACACTGAGGGGGAAAGTCCCGGACTGCGGATACTCTCCTGGGCTTGTATTTGGGTATGCAGCCGTTCTCCAAAGGCCGCTTGTTCGAGACCTCGCCCAGATCACCATTTGAAATAGAAACCATTATCTGAAGAGTAATTATGACAATGAGAACTGAGAGTGAATACTATTCATACAACCAATACATGATAACAAAGATCCATCCAACAATGAATAGAAAGTCCACAGGAGACATGTATACTCATAAATTAACCTGCAGAACATGTTAACAACTTTCGAAAACAAAATTAAGGCATTCAATAAAAACAAAGGGTAAAATACTTTTTCCCATCCGAACTATCACGGTTTTGGCGCATCATCATATAAATTATTTTCTTTTACAAACCACTACATGAACTATACGAGTTTGTCATTATGTCCCCTATACCAGATATAAAAGTGATTTTGACTGAAAAAGTTGTTTGGTCACCATATGTGCCCCTAAATACTTTTACAAATCACCATATGAACTATCACGGGTTTATCAATGTGCGCTGTTTGGTCACCATATGTGCCCCTAAATACTTTTACAAACCATGATATGAACTATCACGGGTTTGTCAATGTACCCCTAAACCACTTTTATATCTTGTTTAGGGGGCATATTGACAAAACTGTATAGTTCATATGGTGGTTTGTAAATAAAAATAGTTTATATGATGATGCACCAAAACCGTGATAGTTCTATGAGAAAAAGTATTTTACCCAAAAAAACAAATAACGATGCACATATACCTGATAAAGAGAATCTGTAAATTAACCTCTGCACAAAAACGGAACAATAACGATGCAATCGGCAAACAGCTCACCACAAAAGCTGCATCAGCGCAACGAACGATTTATCCACAAAACAAACCTGAATTAAAAATTGAATCAAGAGCAAAAGGACAAAATAAAAATGAAAAATCTAAAGATCCTGACTTGTCTACCCAAAATTCATGGTGTCTGAGTAGAGATCGGAGTCCTACAACCGCATGCATATATAAAAAGATATATGTACAGGCATAACTTATGCTAAGCAATCAATAATATTTCTTTGTGCGGGTGATTGCATCAGGATTTTGGGAATAGGATTGGAAACCGAAAAAATAAAAGAAATTATCTGAAGGGACAAAAACAATTTGGCTGAACTAGGGATGTAAATAGGCCGAGTCCGATGGGTGGGTTTGGTAAACCCGAACACGAGACCCACCCGTATATAATTTACTCTACCCAAGTTTGGCCTGTAGTTCAGATATTGATCTTTGGGTTTGGGTTGTGTTTTACTCGGCAGGTTAGCGTGTTTTCATCGAGTAATTGGGAAACTCGAGTTTTTAAATTTGGGCTTTACACCGTCCCAACCTACTTGACCCACTTCATCTGGAAAAAGAAAATAAAATAAAATAATTTTACAATTAATTATAATGTGACAAAAAGTTTATTAACTAAGTCTTACAATTAAAAAAAAAACTATCATTTATTTATTATTTCAGAATAAATAATAAGATATAATTATATATCGTTTATTGTCTAGTTAATAATATAACATTTAAAAATTAAGAATTTAAATATTTTACTGCACAATTAACAAAAATTGAAAAAAAAAATCATAAAAATAAATGAAATTTAATAATTAACTAAAATTTTAATATATAATTTAATTTTTAATATTAATAACGCATGAGTATTTTTGTATTTATCACATATATATAAGATTTAATGCTTCCGGGCAAATGAGTAGGGTAATCAAGTCGAGTAACGTGTTATTCTACTATACCCGCACTCGACCCGAGGTTCGGGAAGCATAATTCCACATGAACCCGACCCGAAAACTTATCATTCGGGTTTACCCGATCTGAAAATGCAGGTAACCTGACCCTGCATTTTTATTGACATGCATAGGCTGAACACAAAAAAATAAACTAGATAATTTTGTCTAATTTACACTTTCATTTTTTTGTATTTTTCACATTTTTTTAGTTTGCGTGTTCTAGAAGTCGTTAAGCGTTCGACTAATGCCTAAAGTGCCTAGGCGAGTTACAAATTAAGATAAAGTACCCTATTTTTTTAATTTATTTTTACTACCTAAAAAATAAATTGCAACTTACGATAAATCTACACACCTAAATTCAAATAATAATATAATTATATTATAAAGACTATAAGATAACAAAATAATGGAGTTAGTAAAAAAAATGATAAATTGTAGCGCCCATCGAGACCCGCCTAACTCGGTCGAATCCTGTCGAGGAATGCTCATTTGCCACGCCTGCAAAGTCCGCCTAGGAGCATCTAGGCGCTGCCAAACCGACAAGGCAATTTTTTTTGGCCAATCAAGCCTAAATGGATGGCATTTTATTGGCGCCATTAGGTCGATTTTTAGAACAAAGTTTTTTATAGAATTTTTTAAGTAAATTCTTCTTTCCACTTTCAATTTATTCTATCCCCACTTATTATTTCTTATTCTATACTCAGAACTCCTTGTAATAGAAGACTGATGTAAAATTGGTGAATTCAATGTCATTATATAATAACTAGGCTATTCACTAATGCAAATTATTATTTTTCTTTTCACTAAATTTTCACATCATTCTTTCGCGGGATT